CACTAGTGTTTCAAGCTTCTCCATCATGGGATGCTTTAAAGACCCTAGTTTCTGGAACTATCTGTTATTGCCAAGGAGAGAAACCCCGCTGTGTCTTTTTTTCTTCATTCTGGCACGAGCGATGTCAGAATAGAGAAAAAAAAAAATTCCCATTCAAAAGCATTGAGAGTTTACTATTGGCTATTTATAAATATATTCCTTAAAAAAAAAGTGAGCACCAAATGTCTTTTTAAATCTAGCTATTACACTGTAAAAGTAGTAGCAACATCATCACTGTGCTGCGTATAGTCTGTACAAAGAGCAGAGCTGTGGCAGGGACCCATCAGGCCCTGAGCACTGGGTGCCTACAGAAAACTACAGGAGTGGGCAAAGTGTCACAGTAGATTATTGCACAGATCTTCACGTAAGAATACACATGCCTTCTTATACTTATACAATATTTACTTATGCTAGAGTGCAGCTTTAAAAACTATTCAGTGGTAAAATAGCCAATTTCAGGTACAGGCAGTCCCCGAGTTCCATACATCCGACCCCTACTTACAAACGGAGGCTATTACTGTACAGCAGGGGGTCCCAGGCTGCAGCTAAAGTGTACCATGCAGCATTTCAGTAGTTGTAATGCTACTGCGCTCGTGCCCACCTTTTTGGGTCTGGTTTGTAGTATTGTACGTACATTACAGGAAGTTAGCTCTTGTTAGACGTGCAGACGAGGGGTGCCCACCTCTTCTTCCTGGTCACTGTGGGGTTTTTATTGCCATCTGTATCCTCATTAGAAATAATTAATCTCACTTCCTGTCCTTGAGACAACAGGAAGTGAGATGAAATCTACCCCCAGGAAGGGAAATTCACTCCTGCAAGAGTGATCATGGGGAAAAAAAAGGTGTCTCCACTGAAGCTTTATCATCAATCCTTGTTTCCAATTTTCAAAATCCAATTGTCACAGGTACCGAAAGTGAGGTGAAATCTTATGAATACGGGCATACATAGCAAAACAAACGTTACAAGGATGTTAACCCTTCCTTATGCTATCCAAAACAAAAAAAAATTTTTGGCTGGAGTTACACTTAAAAAAATTTACCTGTTCCAACTTGCATACAACTTAAGAACAACCTACAGTCCCTATCTTGTTCTTAACCCGGGGACTGCCTGTATTTCTTAAAAGTATTTTTTTTCCACCTTTAAACATATACTGTATAAGTATTTGTGTTTTAAAAAAAAATCAAATAGCCAGGTACAGTACATGGCATTAAAAGAAGTTGGCCTGCAGTGTTTTTGTAGATAAAATATTTTGTATAAAATAGGATTTTAGTACTTACCATAAAATTAATTTCATGTAATTCCCAAGAATTCATAGACTGTTGGGTTATACCTCCACACAGGAGGGCACTGGCAAACAAAGTGACAGTGCCAGCTGAATATAACCTCCTCGAACTCCCATGATGATAGACACAGAGCGTGGTGTACCTTTGTACTTAAACGTCCATTGAGAGGCACAGGAAGGTAGTAATTCTGAGACATTTGGGACATCCAAAAGCAGTACCACTGATGGATGGGCAATAGCCACTGAGAGATTCAATGGATGTGGAATCTGAAGGAGTATCTTAAAGAATCAACGTCCGCAAAAAAAGTGGCAAAGGCAAATATGGATTTGCAACGACCAAGGAAAGAATGATGGAGCTCAACTAACAAACAATGTGGAGGACAACCAAACATGCAACATAAGAAACAGGTAAAAAAAAAAAAAAAA